CTGGTGGGTTCAAATCAGCAACTTGTCAGTTAGCAGTAGAGCAGTTAACCATTGCACCACCAGGGTTCTTCGTATCTTCGTTATCCATACACAAATGCACACATCACATCCAATAGTGGATATCCTTCCTCCCTGTACTCCTACTTGTGCAACTGAAAATTTAAAACATTGGTTTTGCTTGAGAGTGACACAAGGTGTCTACTTTCCTAACATTCATCTACAATGCTCACGTTCACCTCCTGATTGTGCCAAGGGGCCTTCTTAAACTTCTAATTTTTTTTTAACTGCGAAAATCAGAAATTCTCTTCCTTTAATGGAACTGAAAAATAACACTCTTCGTCTCACTTGCTAAATTTCCTTAATAAAGCTAACCAAAGGATTCAGGGGTGGAATTTCATACCAGCAAATGTCAATTCGGACCTCTTACATACAGTGTACATGCTTACCTACTCAAGCAAGCATTCCACTCAAATGGGCTAAGTGTGGCTTTTACTCATTGTTCAGTCACACTGAGCAGGATCTGTTCTCTAGCTACCATCCCATTTGGGCTGACATTCCCTTTATCTGGGGGCTTATAATAAGCAAACCATATTCAGTTTTGCAAAGGCAGATGTACTCTTCCGGTATCCTAGAAACAGACCAAAGCACGCTTTGTGGAATGTCTTGAAGTTCCAGCCACTGATACCAAATAGGTACTAATGCACACCCATAGAAACACCGAGACCAGAACTGAAACAAGATTGTGTCTATTTTAGGGACAAGAATCAGATTGGGTGGGGGGAAGGAGCAAAAAAGGATGGAGTTGTTTCGGGGAGAGGAGGTACCAAAGAAGTTAAGTAAAATCATACGTTACTCTGTAGCAATTTCAGCATCCATAATAAAGAACTTCCTTTTTTTTCCAAATCAGACTGGTAAATGCCATTTAAAATTGCTCAACTTAGCTCAATATGCCTACAAAGCAGCTTCCCAGGTCACAAAAACAACCACTTAGGGTTAGATTTTTTGTGGATATAACTGCTGAAATTAATCTGTTATTAGTTTATGACACCACAACAGCTATTGTTAAATCATCCACAAGGTGAAGAAGTAATTTCCAATTGCTCTATGGGGTCTTATAAGTAATGTCTTGTATCTTCTGATATGCTAGAAAATTAATTGTAGTCCTGTGAATCATAGCAGTCGACTTCTGAAGCCTGAAATCTGAAATTACTCTCACTGAACAATAAAAGGGAAATGTATTCTACTATAAGAAGCATGGAGAGTCAAATTAGAAGGCAGAGGAGGCTGGGAAACTCAATGGATCCTTCACTGGATTCTAAAAAAGCCATGCCCAAGCATATATTTGTATACTAATGTACATTGCAGCATTAGTCACAATATCCAAAAGGTGGAAAAACCCAAGTGCCTATCAACAGATGAATGGATAAACAAAATGAGTTATATCTATACAGTGGAATATTACTCAGCCATGAAGAGAAATGAATTTCTGATACATGCTATGACATGGATGAACCTTGAGTGAAGTAAGTCAGACATAAAAGGACAAATATAGTATAATCCCACTTATATGAAACATCTAGAATAGACAAATACAGAGACGAAAGCTTATCAGTGGTTACCAGGGGCAGGAGGGAGGGGCTGTTGCTTAAGGAAGACTGAGTTTCTATTAAGAGTGATGGAAAAAATGGAACTGGGCAGTGGTGATGGTCATACAACATGATGAATATAATTAATGTCACTGAAATTTATATGTAATAATGGTTGGAACAGAAGATGTTTTGTTACGTATTTTAAACCTGCAGAAGCTGGAATGTCTTTAAGGTGAAAATCTGTCAGAGAGGGAAAATTCAAACATTTGCTACTGACTGGGAGGACAGCAAAGTGGTAAGACCACTGTGAAAGGCTAAAAATTTGTGGGATCTGGGAAAACAGGGCAGGCCTGTCAAGTTCTGGCTCTGACAGGTTTCACTGTATATATGTATGGAAGAAACATGTGATAGCTGGTGGCCATAGATTTACAGGCTTGGAACCCCTACGGGGCAGTTCTACTCTGTCTTATAGGGTCAGTATGAATAGGAATCGACTCGATGGGGGTATATGTTAACCCCTTCACTGCCATCGAGTTGGTGCTGACTCACAGTGACCCTATATTATTACCACAATAAAATGATAATAGTACTAATATTAGGGAGAAAGCTTGATCCCTATTGTCCACTGTAAGCCAGCATGCTCAACAGTACATGAATGGCTGACATCTGGAATACAGTGAACTCTATCAGATGACTCATCTGACTTCCCTCTTTACCCTTGGCCTTGCTCTCTGAAACAGGGCATTTGAAGGGTGCTCTGATGCTATCCCTTGACCTATGAAAAGGTATGTGCTCCATGTCTGTAGGAAATGCTGGGCTCAGGTGTTTGATAATAAAAATCCGGTTCCTTTTCTTTGTTCAGTCTGAAATTGGGGCAGCCCATGAGAGGCTGAGAGCAGTAACAGTGAGTGAAGAGTTCCCTTGCTTATTCCCCATCTATTCATATTTCCAAAGCCATCCGGCATGCTCATTTATCTGTGGCTTTGTTTGTACTGTCCCCAGTACATAGAATGACATCCCTTCCTTACCCCCCTTAGAAGATGGGAAGAACTGAAATTTTGTAAGAAGGGGTTCAATCATGTGAAGTATTACTGAGGGTCAAGGAGGGCTTTGAGGAGCTCAGTGGTGATCTTTGGGGACTCATTTCTCAATATAATTAATAAGCACCAAGTTCCACAGCAATTATATTTGGCAAACGAATAGTACAGGGGGAAAATCTATTTATTTTACTTAAATTTGTCTAGACATCCTGGGAAAAGGATCATGCTGTAAAATGTTTGTGATTCATGTATTTTGACATTTATCTATCCATATTTATACAGAACTCCTTGAATTCTGAGAATCAATTTTATCATGAGCTAGGAGCTCTGGTGGCATAGTGCCTAAAGCATTTGACTACTAACCAGAAGGCTGG